CTGAAATGAGGTTTTGAAATCGGTCCCAGTTTGCTAAAGCAAAGTTCCAGGCTTCAGATGGAGGCGGAGGTGGGGTGGGTAGGTCTAACTGAAGATCAATTTGGACCCCATTGTGGTCGCTTGTGAGTGTGGGCTCAACTGACCATGTTGCTGCATCTCTTAGGGAGGCTGAAACGAAGGTTAGGTCTAATCTGCCTCCTTGGGTGTGGGTAGGTTCATTCTTGTTTAGGATTTGTATTTCTGGAAGCTGGTCCAGTAGATGTGTAATGTGTATGCCGGCTTCATTTGTTTTGTTCGAGCCCAGTGCCAATCGATGATGGGCATTAAAATCTCCACAAATGATTGTGTTTGTTGTTGTCGCGTGTCCAAATAACACAGAGAGATCCATTTCGGCTTGTGGAGACCTGTACACATTGAACACTTCAAGTTTGTCGTGTCTTAGCTCAATGGTGACTCCCATTACCTCTGTCCCTGCTCCACAATTGGGTGGGCTGGTTATGGATTTGGAGATCAGGTCACATTTTACATAGATTGCACATCCCCTGGATTGCCCATTGATCCATGGAAGGAAGAAGCCTCGATAGCCTGAGATTTTAGGTTCTAATCCGGCTCGAAGCATGCTCTCCTGTAGTATCAGGATGTCTATGCCCTTGGTTGCTGCTATGCATTGCAAGTGTTGCAATTTAGTGCAACACTTTAGTGGTCAGGGCGAGATACGCCTCATTTTTAGAGACATTTACTATAGCAAAAAGCTTGAACGTCGGGGACTGAACGCGGGCCTGCACGAGAGTTGTTCTTGGCACTCATATGTTTAGAGATTAAAATCTCTATAATTAGAGGGGGCAACTAAAATACCGCATTATTTAGTGAAATTTTGCAATGTCCAATAGTTTGGACGTTGGGGAACTGAGTCAGGACTTGCATGCAGGTTACTCTGCATCCAGTCCAAATGAGGAAACACGTGGGAGAAAGCGAGGAAGCAAGATTTACTCCCTTGGAAAACCTTTAAAAAAAAAAAAAAAATTGTGGCCAGAGTTTTGATAACATTGGCAACTTTCTTATATATGAATGAAACTCTTAAACAATAACATATAATTAGAGGGGGCAACTAAAATACCGCATTATTTAGTGAAATTTTGCAATGTCCAATAGTTTGGACGTTGGGGAACTGAGTCAGGACTTGCACGCAGGTTACTCTGCATCCAGTCCAAAAAGCGAGGAAGCAAGATTTACTCCCTTGGAAAACCTTTAAAAAAAAAAAAAATTGTGGCCAGAGTTTTGATAACATTGGCAACTTTCTTATATATGAATAAAACTCTTAAACAATAACATATATCCTGAAGGATAAATCTTCTTCTATGAGATATATCTTTTTAGTTAGTTTTAAAAGTTTGTATTTATCGTAATGGTGATGCCTTCCAAACATGGCTTATTAAAATAATTTTTTGTTTATGAAATCGTGTAAGTATTTATGCAATATTTATTATAAAACAATCATAATACGCAGTGGCATATCATTTTTATAGAGAGGCTTTATAAGGTAAATATAATAGCAATGCGAAACTCTTTCCATCTGACGTATTTTTATTTTAAATAAATACAGTTGGGCGAAAAAAAACATGTCTATTGCCGCGTGAGTGACTGGAGTGGGCTCTTCTAAGGCTTTGGAATTTGTTGGAGGGCGGGAATGTGCAGAGTTCTGGGGGGGGGGCCGTGAGATAGGGATATTAGATTGACTTAAAACTTAATGCTAGTTATTTAGTCAAGAATGGAATGGAATGGAACTATCAGGAGAAAGCGCCAAGCCATTACGACCATGTAGCACTGGGAAGGAGTCAGGATAAGGATTTGGGAATAAGATGGGAGGAAGGAATGGTGGCCCAACCACTTGGATGGTCAGGGGATTGAACGCCGACCTGCATGAAGTAAGGCCGTCGCTCTACCGTCCAGCCCAAGTGGTTGGACTATGTATTATTTTTTTTTATATATTGAAGCAGATATTTTTCTCCCTGATTCTATGTATGACTAACGACCCAGTGCAGGTTTGGAAGGCTTTAGCAATTAAAGCACCGTAAGATTGCGAGTGTTCAAGTCTAGGGGGAACTAAGCATTTTTTTGTGTGTGAATGTGCAAAACCCGTGTTTATTTGTGTAAGTTAAAAATTGAGTTTTTTGTTTGTGTATAAGAGTTTAGCAATGTGTTTAAGTAAGATTGTGCAACTGTTTTAAGTTTAGGGGGGGGACTAAGTATTTTGTTCGAATGTGAAAGCCCTGGGTTTATTTGCGTAAGTTGAACCAAAAAAAAAAATGAGTTTGTTTTTGTGAGCGAGTTTGTTTAAGTATGTGCTATCATTAAAAACTTCCAAAGTAATGACAGTAATGCCAAAATGAATTCATCTTTTCACTTTTTGAAAGGTGGAGGTGTAACATTTTCTCAAAACCTTTGCGCTTGATATACCACGGCACTGACATAAATGGCAACTGATGAAGTCGACTTTTAAATTTTAACACATGATTTCAAAAAGTATTTCATAGCAACAGATAGTGCCAGTCGATGCGTTACATGAAGTTATTGGGCCCCCACCACAATAGCTGCAAACTATTATGATGTTAAAAAATTCAATTTAATACGGAATATGGACAGATTTCTAGTACATATTACATTGCTTAAACCACTCAACTACTTTCCTTTATAGTATATTTAAGAGTGTCAAATTAATGTTTGGAGTGTCAAACCCAACACAATATGGCTGAGGCCCCACTATTTAAACTTCTTTTCGTATTCTATGAAATATCACAGGTATTGTTAATGCTTGTAACGTTTATTACAAAAGATAGACATACATTTGATGCTATTTTTCATATTAAAATCTAATTTGAGGCCCGAAAAATATATCTATAAAATCTATAAATAGGTTAGAACCATACACATGCAAGCATGCCTTTTTCACCAGTAATCAACTGAATGCCACAGAAAATGGAATCTTTACTTTAGCTACAGAAAACGGAGCAAAGTCAAGGGGAGATGACTAGGATAAACAGTTTCCAACCTGACTCTTCTCGCACATAAACATGTCTTTCTTGACCTCATTTCAAATTATATAGAGTACTGAAAGCTCATTTTCCATAGCAAATATACTAAGGAACTCATTTTATGACTAGAACGCAAACTAGGACCCCTCATTCAGATTCAAAACACGAGAATTATTGACTGAACATTTACCCACATTCAAGCACACACAGGACTCTTTAAAGCTATCTAAACTTCTTTAAAACCCTAATATGACCCATCTCACATGCAGATCCTGTTCTATGACTCGCCCTTCATGTCAATGTACCCCACAGTATCATGCAAATTCAAGATAAGGCTTACTACACCTATATATCCAACTTGGTCTTTGTAAGGAATCTTGACCCCCCCTTCTATGCTTGACCCCACTGGGGTAATCATAGGTAGGGGGTCCCTATTGCCGACGTCATGTCACGTGACACCCCCGCGACAAATAAGGAAAATTTCACCTGATTGGCCCATGATCCCGAGACAGAAAGAGAATTTTTCTACTCGGCTCCTGATTGGTCAAAAAATCGCGCCCCGTTCTCACCTCTCACCTCTGACCATTACAGAAAATGGAGCTGTGCCCAAGGGCTCCCTGTACTATTCAGTCATAGCCTCATTAAAGTACTCCAAAAACTTCTATATTCGCTTTCAACTGTGTTTCTTGGTTTGAATCTATTGAACATTCACCCTCTGATCCATTCAAAAGTAAGGGCCCCCAAATTGATACCGTATTACTCTCGTAACACCCCCGGGCCAAATCGTGAATTTTTGCTCATGCCATTAAAATACTCCAAAAACGTTTATATGCCTTTCACCAGTGTATTTTTTGGTTTTCATCTATTGAACATGCACCCACTGATCCACTCATAAGTAGGGGACCCCCCTCTTGATGCCTTAGACTCATCTTAAAAGCACGAGAAAAAACAGGTTAGGATAGGGCACCAGTTCCTCAGGTACATCCTGGGTGGTGGGCCCTTGGTTCCCCTGGGGGGGAGAATGGACCACCACCCAACCCAGCCAGCCAGCCAGGTGCGCGCCCAGCGCGTCCTGACCCAACTGCTTGAAAAAGATTTTCACGATCTGGCCCCCGGGAGTCAAGTCGGCATGGAAGTGCCCAACCGTTTCTGAAAATCAATTCCCCATGTGTCTCCTTTTACACTACTCGCGGGCCCTATAGTAATAATAATAACAGTTTATTTGTAAGAAGGTACAATTCGTTGGTGAGATTACGTGAGATTGGTATTTTTACATCTATGCAAAGCCACTAACACGCATAGCGTTTAGGTCAGAATGTAGTTGGCCTGTAGAGAGGATAATAATCAAGGTGACGCCATAGAGAGTGACATAACATGTAGAAAGGACAAGTATCTATTAGGAACTGTAGATGGGAAGCCCCACCTGGAGGTACCACACACATGTTTTTAACACATAAATGTACTTGAATTCTGATCCGAGTTCAAGAGCTAGCTAGGCCTTCTCAGAGTATATACGATAAGAAAAGACACTGGTTTTGGTTGATGGAGGCATTAAGGTCTAAAATCCTCTGGAGGGGTTATTAAAAAATACAACAAAATCTTACATATCATTCAGCAAAGTATTCTTCAATCCAGAAGGTAGCGCATCACCCAAGTAAACTCTCCCACTGAATAGAGCTGTTGTAGCAGTGGCACTATCTTACTGACCACTCAAGAAGTAAACTTTAGTCCTGAACATAAGTCTCAGACTATAGCAAACTCTCACTGTATACTCACGGAGAAAAATGTAAGTATCTTGGTGTAATTATCCATTCGTCACTGACCAACCAACAAGTATACTTTCATATTATGGCTATAAAGCACTACAGAAAAAAAATACATACATATATTTATGGAAAATCTTTAGGTTTTTTGAGGTCGTTTGAATATTTTATTCTTAATAATAATAATAATAATAATAATAATAAAAATAATAATAATATTTATTTAAAAAATATAAAGAACATGATACAGTGGCTAAATGACTGTTACAGAGTTCATTTAATAAAGCCACTAATACACAGAACATTTCAGGCATTACTTTAAATAATTAAGTTAAACTAAATTATATATAGAATTGATGGGGATAACTTAAACGAAAAGTGAGCTAACATATATATAAATTGTTCACAAATTTAATAAATGATATACAGTATACAAAGTGATAATTTAACAACAGGAAAAAACATAGTATTTAATGTTAACAATAACAGCAAAACACATTATTGACTTATTTAGAATGAGGAAATGTGAAAGAAATTTGTTACATAATGTTTATTATATATTTCTTAGTCTCTCCTTTAAACTGGTTGAGAGAAGTATAGCTTTTAGTCACATTTGGGGAGGTCATTCCTAGTTGTGCTTGCGGGGGTTGAGCTTTGGCTCTTTGGTCCCGCCTCTCAACTGTCAATCAACTGTGTGTGTGTGTGCGAGTTCTGCCAATGGACATTAGAACCCGAACGCGTCACTCCCAGCAACTATGCTGTTCTCATATCATTTCAAGGGATATACTGTCTTAGTACCTTCTCTTACGCTGACAGAGCACAGCAAGTCGAGCTGTGAGTGTGAATGAGAGTGCTGTGTACAGCAGTGACCAAGTTGAGGAATTCCATACAATAACATGATGTAAAACTCTATCAAAACAATAGTAATAACTTAATAGATCTAATAGACTGATATAGACCTAATAGATCTAATAGGCCTAATAGACCTAATAGGCTAAAAACAAAGATGTTACTCTTCGTAGGCATGAGGAGGTAAAGTACACTTCCCACTACAATAAACAGTTTACAGCTAAAAGTTTAAATGTTAAATGGAATACTTGCTGTTGACCAAGCTGTCCCTATTGCGTTATTGGCAATATTGTCGCCACATTAACAAAAGTGCGGGTAGTCTCTACTATCAGTTATATTGAGATATCCTTAAAATGCCGTTTTTTTTACAACAAAATAACGGAAATACATTGTTCTTTCTCATTAGCCAACATTAACCCTTGCTGCGTGTAAAGGTTGGCCATGAGGGAGGATTCTCAGCTCTTCTGCTGAACACATTATTTAAGATCTTCGCGACTCTCAGCGTTTCTTGTCGTCCTTCTAAGACCTTGTCTCGCCCGGTGGCGAAAAACGCACTTGAGGTCTGATTCTAATGCACTCTTGGGAACAGCTTCATTAGGTTTCCATCTTTGGGTTTGAGGACGATCTCACTCAGGAGCTGAAGTTTCTTCCTGGGTGTGACACTCTCCACCCGGAACTTCCGAAGCACGCTACTCACCACTACTTTCTCCTCGATCATGCCGAACTTCTGACCTGAAGGAACACATCTTAAGATGTTAATATTGGGAACTCGTTCGTCAGATTTTATAGGTTCTAAATATGGAATTAGTTGAGGTTCCTAAAGATGTTGACGTGCATCAACCGTCCATACACGCTACAGTTATGATATTAATCAACCACTTAGTTTAAGATGATTACTCTGAATAGCCTACCCAATAATTCTTCAAATAACTTAGTCTCTCTTAAAATTTATACATAGTTTTCTTCTTTATAGACGCACGTTTGTTTTACAGGTTAACTTAATTAAAATAACTAGGCTATTCATTACAACAGGAAAAAGGCTTTTAATGAGTCTCTTACTCTCTCATATCAAATTACCTCACATATTAATAATTTTTTTTTATTTTTACAACATCTCCTCTCGCAGTATTTACCAAGCTCAAGGCGCAGGAGAACGGAAATTAAAACTGACAACACAGCACCAAGAATGAGCTTTGAGTAAAGGTTCACTCACCGATGCAGTTCCTAGGACCGGCGCTGAAGGCGTTGTAGGCGTAGGGGTGACGCTTACTAGCATTCTCCGGCAAGAAGCGGTCAGGGTCGTACACCTCCGGGTCCGGGAATTGCTCAGGGTCACGATGTAGTGCGTAGTTGAAGACCATGACGGAGGCGCCGGCAGGGATGCGGTATTTTCCTGGAGGAACACAAAGGTTAGTCATGATACTGTGGCTGTCTAGGCCACAGTTTCCAGCATGATTCCCTAGTATCTGGGTTCCTTTTCGTCCCGTTTTCCTCCCGTTTTCTTCCTATCAAAAACAAAGACAATCGAGCAGTAACTAATGACGGCTAAATGGCCCCACCACGTACACTCGTCTTATATTAATTCCTATATTCATGGCATTGTGACCCCTACACTGGAGGATTCCAGTGAAGGAGTCCAAAAATCACTATTCAGTGCCCGGGTGCTCGCAGGAAGTGGACCACAAAAATGGAAGTATTGCCCTGATAGCCTTCCACACCTTGGCTGGGGCCTCTGCGACGCTCTTCAAGACTCCCTTCTTTTCTAGCTTCTTACTTAAGGGTATTTACCTCTTAGTGACTACGGGGAAGTAAAGTCTAGCTATTTATGCCCCAGCCAACTAGCCTTCTTATACCTGATGCAATATAATTTCACTATTGTGACGATGGTTCTCTACCTGGGGTATGAACAGCGGCAGGAGCTACTCAGTGCGACTTGGTCATGAAAATATGAACCTTTTCAACTCTGATTTACGATTGATAGAGGCACACAAGTCACGTGTTTGTAAATACAGTAACTTTTCTGCATTCTCCACGGTCAGACTCCTTCTTTGCTCTTGAAATTATCGACCAGATATTCCATTATTGCAACTGAGATTGTCAACAAAATACAAGCTGATCGGATGAAATTTCAGCCATAGCAAGAGACAAGTCGTGTGTCTTTATAAACGTGATTGATAGGTTGTCGACTCTCCGGAAAGATGTAGCAAATGATACCGTTGTTCTCATTCACGGCCACTCTCTTTCCACCAAGCGGCTGTTGAATTCCTGCTTCCAAAATATCCTTGGACTGTCGAAACATTTAAAGCCACTTCCAGCTGAATCCTAGATGTGCTTCCATGATGTTGTGTGTGTGTGTTTGTATGAGGTGATTGTGTTTAGGAATCTAGTGCAAGCAGATACTTAGTATCATTTCTTACCAATTGTAATATCCTCGCTGAGGTGTCTGCCGATGTAGGGAACAGAGGGGAAGAGTCTGAGGGCTTCTTTGATGCAGTTCTCTGTGTACTTCATCTGTCGGACGTCGTCCATGGTGGCCGCCCGCTCCGACCCTTCGAAGATGGCGTCCAGCTCCTTGTGAACCCGCGCCTGGGGGGGGGGGGGAAGCGAGCAATACAAGATTAATTACTTAATATATGTAGTGATTTATTTATATCCCAAAAGGTACAGTGGGTGGTGAAGGTACATAGTTTGGTAATTAAGTGGTACATTCTTGCAAGGCCACGTTGCAACCCGTTCTCGCACTTTCTTTAAGTCAATATTGACTTATTAAATAAGTGCATATGTGACATACTAATTTATTGTGAATATTTTACTTTACCTTGAAAAGCTTCATAGAAAACATCGACCTTACCTAACCTTCTTAGTATGTTCAGATAAGCATCTTATTGCTTCGTAATTACAATTATTACTTAACCAATTATAGGTATAGGTTAAGTAATAATTGTAATTACGAAGCAATAAGATGCTTATCTTAACATACTAAGAAGGTTAGGTAAGGTCGGTGTTTTCTATGAAGCTTTTCAAGGTAAAGTAAAATATTCACAATAAATTAGTATGTCACATATGCACGTATTTAATAAGTCAATATTGACTATAAGAAAGTGCGAGAACGGGTTGCACTAACACATTACAGAGAAGTTTAACTCAAAATTAGCAGTAATTTTTATATCACAATCTTGAACATAGAACAAATGAGGTGATATTTGAAATGTGCTAAATTTGAACTTATATAATTACTATATTAATATGAAGTAGTGATAATGAGAATTTACGTTAATGTTAGGGTATTCCTAGATAGCAAAATATTAAGCGAAATCTCAACAGGGAGCTGTGTGTGTTGTCTGAAGACAGGATATCTTATACTTCTGATAGCAGATTGTTTGCTGGGTGAGGATGTGCTTGAGGTGGTTCAATCCCCCATGCGACCTAAAGCTGATTACCCATGTTCTAATAATCTCATGATTGTTTCAGGCGTAGGTTAGACATATATATGTGAACGAGTTTGGGGTGGATATATACAGGAGCTGCCTTGTATAAGTGAATAGGCTTCTGCAGTTTCGGTAGTTCCTATATATTTATGCTATATTCTTATATATCTTATTTGTTCTTATATGTTGAATTGTTTATCACAATTTATATTGTAGTTATTTGTTGATATAAAACCGTGCAACAATGTACCTTTTCATCTTATCTGATATGTTAGATTAAGGACCACCCCGAAACGATATGCGTGTTAGGGAGTATACAAGAATGTAAAAATATCCCTTTAATGTAATCTTACCAACCCATTGTAACTTGTTGTAAATAAAATATTATATTATGTTATTATTATATAATAGTAAAGAGATCTTGGAGAGAAATATTGCTAGACTGTTGATAAACATGAAGAAATGCAAAATGGCGTTGATTTAGAAATTCCGTGATTGGGAGAAATGTTTCCTGATACTTTTCTTTTAATAGTTTCGTTCTACTCTTAGATTAAAAAAAACTGGAAAATAGGTTAACACGTTCCATGGCCGTTCTTATGTTACTGATAAACAAAAGTCCAAATGAAAGCTCAAGGAACGTTCACGGGGCGTTCAAATACGTTCACTGAGACAATAAAATACATCTTAAAGGGATAGAGTTTCTTAGGCTATTCCTACCTTCCTTCCATAAGAATACTTACAGCAATGATCTCTAAATATCATAAGTTACGGTCACAAAAAATCATTTAGTTTGGTCTGGGCTTAAAGCCTAATCTACCTTTGGAAGTTATTAAGGCTTTCTATCCAACCAGCAAGTATACTTTACTGCTGAACATACAATGCACTACAATGTATATATATACACCGAGAAGCAGTTTACTCCTCTCAGTGTGTGTGTATATTCCCCCCTGTGTGTATTACCTGTATCTCAGGGTGCCTGCCCAGGATGTAGAGGCACCAGTTGATGGCGACGGTGGTGGTGTCGTAGCCGGCGAAGACGAAGAGGTCCACCTCCTCCCGGATGTCTTCGTCGGAGAGCACTGCGCCGCCTTCGGAGTACTCCAGCAGCAGGTCCAGGAAGGCCAGGCGTTGTTTTTTACCTGAGATGAACAGTGACTTGGTATTATATATGCTTGGCTATGCTCTCTGTTCTGTCTATCTCCCTTACTCGCCCTGTGTGCTCTCTCTCTATGTCTCTCTGTCTCTGTCTCTGTCTCTGTCTGTCTCTCTCTCTCTCTCTCTCTCTCTCTCTCTCTCTCTCTCTCTCTCTCTCTCTCTCTCTCCTCTCTCTCTCTCTCTCTCTCTCTCTCTCTCTCTCTCTCTCTCTCTCTCTCTCTCTCTCTCTCTCTCTCTCTCTCTCTCTCTCTCTCTCCTCTCTCTCTCTCTCTCTCTCTCTCTCTCTCTCTCTCTCTCTCTCTCTCTCCTCTCTCTCTCTCTCTCTCTCTCTCTCTCTCTCTCTGTCTTTCTGTCTCTCTCTCTCTGTCTCTGTTCTCTCCCTCACGCTGCACGTCAATACCATGACACTTCAGAATTGCTACATTAACGACACCACGAAAGCAATACGTGCAAGATAACATCAACAATCAGAAATGACTTAAAACTGTAACAATTGTACTCTTTTGCTCATGTCGTGCCCAAGAGGTCATCGCCAGCGACATGTCGTATTTACCCAGGTGCTTGTCGTCCTCGCTAGTGATCCCAGCTTTCTTCTGTTCGTACAGGATCCTCCTGGTCTTGACGATGTTCCGCGTGAAGGTGTGAAGTGTCTTAAGGAGCCCCGCCTGCTCCTTGGCGTAACCCAGGAGCCAAAAGATGAAGTCGGGCTGCAGCCAGAGGACGATCATCCGGTTCTGGATGAGGTGTTGAATCCTGTATAAATATAAACTTGAGGATCAGCGTAGCTTGTGAGGTATGGAAGATTAATATATAAATTATATTTTTTGCAGAATTCTCATTCATTTTTTCCTCGACATATTTTTCCCCCGGAAATAACAAGAAATTGAAATAAGTTTATTGAGGTAAAATACACACAAAGGTTAGCTCAAGCTATTCTCACCTACCTCATCCCTTTGTGTGTATTAAATAACAAGTCTTAAGTATATTTGAAGATTTTAATTCATCAAGATTCTAGAAAAGAATGTTTTAAATATTTTTTTTTTTAGCTTTGTTAAAATACTTATATCTATAAAATATCTGTTATATCTTCCACATGTCTCAGGGCACCGTAACAAAGTTGTGACGGTGTGTTACGTGACAGATAAAATGTTGGAACTTTTGTCTAAAAAAAAAAAATCCTGAAAAATATATATAAACTCTTGATTTTAAAATTTTAAAATATCAGCCAAGCCAAAGAAAAGGCTCTAACAAATATTTCAAGGCATTTACCGGTAAAATTAAGGTTAAGGATTTAAAAATATATATATTGTTAATTTAAAATATAGCAAATAAGATAAAAAAACGGTATTAAGGAGAGTATGAGAGTCCTTAAAGACGAACCTGTGGACCGCCTTGACGTAATCAGACTCGCTGTTGTCCTGGGCGTTGACGGAACACCCCATCGCCGCCTCTGTCAACACACACACATACCCCTGTCTCAGTCAAGGCTGTCAAGCTCTTGTCATTTACTTGGAGAGCAATCTGTCTTCTCCGGTACCTTGTTCAGTGTTCTTTATGTGTGTGTATGTGTGTGGTTGAGGTAATTCCAGGAATTACTTCTTGATTTTGGTGTATCAAATTACAAGAGAGAGAGAGAGAGAGAGAGAGAGAGAGAGAGAGAGAGAGAGAGAGAGAGAGAGAGAGAGAGAGAGAGAGAGAGAGAGAGAGAGAGAGAGAGAGAGAGAGAGAGAGAGAGAGAGAGAGAGAGAGAGAGAGAGAGAGAGAGAGAGAGAGAGAAGAGAGAGAGAGAGAGAGAGAGAGAGAGAGAGAGAGAGAGAGAGAGAGAGAGAGAGAGAGAGAGAGAGAGAGAGACAGACAGACAGACAGACAGACAGACAGACAGACAGACAGACAGACAGACAGACAGACAGACAGACAGACAGACAGACAGACAGAGATTTATGTTTTTGAATACTACTACCACAACTACAACTACTACTACTACTAATAATAATAATAACAACAATAAATAACAAAGCTAACCTAACCATACCAGAAAAAACACACAATTAATAACAACAAGACATATAGCAGTGACAATGTAAACAAGACATCGACCAAGGAGGAAAAAAAAGCAATCAACTCACCGCAGATGATATCTAAGGTGCAGTTGGTGATGTAAGGAAAGATGTCGAACTCCTCTCCGTTGGCCTCCTTCTGTAGCTTGTTAATCAGCTTGTTGCTCTGGCTGTTGAACACCTCCAGGTGGTTCTCCAGGATCTTGAAGTGGAAGGCCGGAGTGAGGAGCTTCCTGCGGGTGTGCCAGTCTTTGGCTGTCGAGATGGGAGAGGTTAAGAGGCTCAGTTTGGAGGGTTAGTTTATGATGCATGTATCCTGTACCTATCCTGTGGGTGGTAGTGGATCAAATTCCTATTCTGTTGGTGATAGTGGACCCCCATTCCTATCCTGTGGGTGGACCCCATACCTATCGTGTGGGTGGCTAATAGTGGAAGATCTTAGTCTGTTGAAAACCCTAAGTATAAATGGGTGAATTAATTAAGTAATATATAGAAGTGGTCTCTAGAGCCCCGTGCGTCTGGCAGAGGAGCACGAAGAAATGCGTGGCCGGCCCCATGCTCGCTAGATGTCACTGCTGGCAACTTATATACAGAAATTCACCCCTTTAGTCCTCCCAGACGCCGTCGTCCTCCGGGGACTTCGAGTACTCACTCTTGGAGACTTCGAGTACTCACTCTTGGGGACTTCGAGTACTCACTCTTGGATACTTCGAGTACTTACTCTTGGAGACGAAGAGTCCGGTGGTGCCGATCCAGGGACGGAAGAAGTCGTACTGGTGGCTCTTGTCCAGGTGCTTCATGCTGCTGAGTAGTGCCTGTCAAGACACCGGGGGGTGAACACGCCTCGCTTCTCACGCACATTTTTATCCATTCTACTTCAAATTGCAAAGCAAAATACAATAGTTTCCATCATGATTTGCAACATATAGAAATGTGGTACTGGCAAATATTTATAGATGAAGTTTGTCTGAAATACTTTAAATGGATCGGGTTTAGGAATTGGAATCTAATATTCTATTTGTAATGAGTTTTGATTTTCCTTTTTAATTTTAAACCAGGAGACCTGGTGAGAGACCGGCTCGCGGGGAGATTGATCCCCGTGGCCACCTCCCGGTAACTACGTCAGGTGTTGATGCGTTGATGCCATACCTCGGCCTGCCTGGCGCCGCTGATGATGACGAGGGGCCTCATCCCTATCCATACCCTCATCATCTGACCATACCGCTTGACCAGCCACACTCCCAGCTTGAACAGCGCTGCAAGGAGGTAGACAAGTGCTTAGCGTGGGTGTCGTAGTGGACGAGAGAGAGAGAGAGACAGAGACAGAGACAGAGAGCGCAAAAGAGAGAGAGACAAAGAAAGAGAGTGTGTGTAAGGAGACATATATATAAACCCACGACTTACCTACACTGTCAGTGGTGATGCTAAGAGCATTTCCTACAATAGGCAGACTGATGGGTCCAGGTATCCGGCTGATTAACCACACCTGTTAGAAGAACAATACAGTTAACCAACAACCTGGAGGCCCTAGAGGTCACCACGTACAATTCAGGGTCACAAAAGGTCAACTTCACATTATTACAAATTTATGAGAGAGAAAAAAACAGAGCTTCGAAGCATGTCTGTTTTTAAAAAGCGTTTGAGGTTACTGCATGACTGTGTTTTCATGCAGTAACACACACACACACACACACACACACACACACACCACACACACAAACACACACACCACACACAC